GCCCTCTGATGAAATGATCCGCCCGAGATAGCGAACCTCAGGCTGAAACATTTCACATTTGGCTGGCTTCAACTTTATGCCATGCACTCTCAATCGTCTAAGCACAGTTCTGACATGTTCAACATGGCTTTCGAATGACTTGCTGAAGACAAGGATGTCATCAAGGTATGGAATGCAAATTTCATCCCTGAGCCCCTCGAGACATTCTTCCATGCACCGCTGGAAGGCAGCTGGTGCGTTCATTAAACCAAATGGTATGCGAATCCATTCATATAAACCCCAGGGGGTCACAAAGGCAGTGAGGGGCTGACGGTGTTCCGCCATAAACCCCTGATGGTAAGCTTTACCTTGATCTAACAGCGAAAACCATGAGTTGCCTCCCAGGCCATCCATAATGTCCTGTACCCTGGGAATGGGCTGGCGGTCTGGTACAGTCTTATGGTTCAACTCACGGTAATCGATACAAAGGCGTAAGCTTCCATCTTTTTTTCGAACACAAACCACTGGGGAAGAATAGGGAGAATTCGATTTGCGCACCCAACCTTGTGTGATCAGATCATGTAGATAGCTCTTCATTTCTTGATATAATGGTTTTGGAACTGAGAGGTAAGTTTTAGCCACAGGTTCTGTGTCTTTCAGTGAGATGGACAGTTGCAGGTTCTCGATGCACCCAATATCATTATCGGAATAGGAAAAGGAGCCTGACTCCTCTCTTAACATCTGTTTAACCAGATCTCTTTCAGGGGGACTGAGATGGTCCAAATCAACTGGTGGGTCCCAGTCACAACCAGAGGTTTGTTGTTTCCTCACCTCCACATTAGCTACCGTTAATGGGGACGTGGAGCAGGGCTGTTCAAAGATTGTCGTTGGGTAAACTGCTTGGACTGGCTGTGCTGTTCCAATAACAGTCCTCCCAGAGAGTACTATGTCATGGTCTGTTGGGTTTTGCACATCCACAATCATGAATGATTTTGTACCTTTCTCAAGTTTTATGAGGGTGTCAGTGAATTCTAGACCTTCTGACCACTGTGGGTTGACACTAGGTTCGAAGATCAGAGTTGTCTCCTCCTGTAAAGTGGGTATCATAACACGGCACTCTACCTTTACTGATGTGTGTTTTGGGACATGTACTTGTCCTCTGGTGGTTTTGACATTATATTCCAGAAATTGCTTTTCAGCAGCAACTCTAGCCACAAACACTTCAGCATCATCCATTTCAAAGTCAGAAAAAGCTGCTTGGACAGCTTTGATTAACTGCTGTTTATGGGTGTCTTTACTTTGCTGCAGCTCAGTATCCACTATAAGGCCAATAACATTTGAACCAATAATAGGTCGAGCAAGACTGTTGCCTTTAATTACTAGTGTGGGGACAACAACTTCTGTTGTTGGGACTCCATCTGCAGCTAGTTTGAATGTGACTTCTATCCATCCCAAATACGGCATGTCTTGGCCATTGGCTGCAATGAGATTCAAAGTGTCACTGTTTTCAATGATCTCAGAAATGTCTTTCAAAGTCACATGAGGCAGTTGCTCTGCTTTCCATTGTTCACTTACTACAGTCACTTGTGAGCCAGAGTCCCACAATGCTCTAATTTGCTGACCTTGGATATAACAGTCAATCAGATATTTTTGTCCAACTAATGGAGCAAATTTAACTTGCTTTTTCTTTCGTGGTGTGGCTCGGACATTACTACAGGAAGTTGTTGAACATTGATTTTTATGTACAGCCCAGTGTTCATGTTGACATCCCTCAGAACAATATAACACTCTTTTACAAGATGAACATTGTCTCAGTCTCACCTTTAACCCACCTGCACCACAGTATGCACAGAGTTGGGGCGCTGCTGATGATGTGGTCACTCCCTGCCCCTCTGGGGTAACCCTTGCTCGTTTAAAGCACTCCCTCTGAATTGGCCTGATCTCCTCATTCTGCAGCCAGCTGAGAAGTGTTCACTGCTGCCACACCTGAAACAGTGAATGCAGTCCTCCAAATTTTCCTGCTGGCAGGCGTAGCACCTCCGCCTGGGCCGTGGTGAAGCTGTGGAGTGGGGGCGTTGATTTCCATACCTCTGATTGGGTGGGAGATGATCATGATGTCCTGGGGTTGGTGGTAAATAGTTGTGATGTGTTGAAGGGGATTGCAAGTAGCTGTATTGCACTGGAGGAGCTTGATGGTAACCATGATGTACTGCAGGCTTGTGTGTCAGTGATGGGTTGTGGTAAGCTGGTGCTGATTGAACTGGTATGCAATCTGGTCCTGATACTGGGTTTGGGTGCTGCCTCTGCAGATAAGAGGGCTGCTGCATAGACTCTTTAATAGAAGAAACTTCGGCTTTCAGGTCTTTAAGCAAGGTCATGTTTGCTTTCATCTCCTGTAGTTCTGAAAGAATATCAGTTTGACTCTTACTGTGACTCGACTGGCTTGTTTTATCCTTCTCAGTGGTGGTGTGGTCAGACTGAGCAGAGTGAACAGTCACAGACCGCTGTGGTGCGTGCATTTTTTTCTTGTCCTGTCTCTCACTTTCATATGCACATGCAATATTTAGTTTTTCAAATAAAAGTTCATCAGAAACACCTGCTTGCTCTAAAGATGGCTGAAGGTCACGTTTTATGTTATCGTTCAGTAAACCGGTAATAACTGTATGGAGAAACATGTTCTGCACCAGCACTGGATCATAACGTAAGCCTGACTCTGACTCTTGTGATGCAAACAGAATCTTCTGTCTTAGGTCTAGAGTGCGGATGAGAAAACTCTGAGGAGTCTCTTTAACACTCTGTGCTTCTGACGACAACTGTTTATATAATTCTGTTGCACTCTTTTCCTGATAATGGCAACGCAGTATTCTTCTCAGGGTGGGGAGAGTAAGGTAATTTTTTCCCTCTAGGTAGCTCCGCAACTGCATCCCTGGGACAATGGCCCTTATGACAGCATCAACAATCTCAGTCTCTGGAAAGCCTTTGAGGAGGCCATGTTCAATTTGTCGTGCGAGACTGGAAAATGTGAGGCGATCCTTTTGTCCTGGGTCTCCAATTTGTCCAGATATTTTGAATTCTTTGTGCCATACAGCAGGGGTCTGACGTAGAGCTGAAGCTGGAATTCCATAGCTGGGCATGACAGTCTGAGATTTATGTTCATCCTCCTCGTGAGTATGTTTTATTTGGGGTGGTAAATGAGGCTGAGAAGGTCTGGTTTCTGTTGATGTACTGTCCAGTATCTCATCATATTCGTTTTGTTGTTCGTGTCGTGCTACTTTAAGTTCCTTTACTTGGATATCTGTAGCCTCAGCTTGGAGCTCAGTTATCTTGTCTTTAAAGCAGAGAAACCCTGACATTCCCAAATCCTCTAACTTCTGGAACTCTTCACTCTGTAGATGATTACTAATCATTAAGATGAGCGATGTTCTGTTCTTTCCTGTCACATGTTCAAATTTTGACCCAGCAATAGTGAGAAAATCACACAGTTCTTTTAGGCTTTCAACTGGCAGTGTGCACAAAAGTCCTATTATTTCCAACTGTAATGCCTCTACCTCGGTTGACTCCATCTTCTTTACCGTAGCTGATCAGCGTTCTGTTGTAGCAGTAATTTGTTTGCTAAACCTTGGTTGTAGCACTCCTGGTACCTTAGGTTCACCTCAGATTGCTTTTGCCCTTGATAGTAGAAACTCAGACTGCCACACAGTTGTCCAGTAGATGTTGTCTGCCTGGGTAAGTAAGTTAAATGGGAGCTGAATGAGAGCTGGAGACGTCTGGTTCTAGCAGAAGTCAAACTTCGCCTCACTCAATCCCAGCGGTGCCTCCAAAATGTTACGCCCCTGTAAAGGGGAATAATGAAAACACACGGACACGATGTGTTACTGCTTTCGTCTCCAGTGTTGTAATGGAGGAGCAGAAGCATTGCGTTCCCCTACATCAATTCAGACAAAACCAATCGAGACTCGAACGATAAACAAACTCTCAAAACTTAAAATGCAAGAAGGTTGAACTCTTCAAGAATTATACACAAACATAACCAGAAACGTAACATTAAAGAAAATACATTTTAAACTTAATTAAACTTAGGCAACCTTTTATTGTATTGGTCTACAGCGCTGAACTTGAAAGACCAAAATAATCGATCGCAGATCACTAGATCTTATTTTCCCTTTTAATTATATAAAATAGTTTTATAACCACTACACAAACAGGTAGAGTAGAGCAAGTAAAGACAGCAGCAGAGTGAAGAAATGTGGTCAGTTTGTCATCCAGCAGTCTAAGCCTATAGAAGCAGAACTAAGAGATAGTTCAGGAAACCCAAGCCAACCCTAACTATAAGATTTATCCAAAAGGAAAATCTTAAGCCCAGCCTTAAAACTGGACAATGTGTCAGCCTCACAGACAGAAACTGGAAGTTGGTTCCACAAGAGAGGAGCCTGATAACTGAAAGATCTTCCTCCCATTCTGCTTTTGGAAACTCTAGGAACCACAAGTAAACCTGCAGTCTGAGAGTGAAGTGCTCTGTTGGGAAAATATGGAACAATAAGATCTGTAATATAAGATGGAGCTAAGTTATTGAGAGCTTTGTAGGTTAGAAGTAAGATTTTGAATTATATTCTGGATTTGACAGGGAGCCAATGGAGAGAAACTAAAACTGGAGAACTATGATCTCTCCCACTAACTCCAGTTAAGACTCTGGCAGAAGCATTTTGGATCAACTGAAGATGTTTTTAAGAAGTATTTGGACACCCAGATAATAAACCATGGCAATAGTCCAGTCTAGACGTGACAAATGCATGGACCAGTTTTTCTGCATCGTTTTTACATAAGATGTTTCTAATTTTAGTGATATTACACTGGTGGAAAAAAGAGGTGCTGGTTTTAAACAAGATAAGAAAAATGAAAGAATCACTACAGAAATTATAAAAAAACAACAACATTATTTAATTTTTTTTCCCCAACACCTGATGTAATGTTGTTCAGTGTGTTGGCTGTTGAGGAGAACTGAGTCCTGATTTTCTCCACAGAGACTTTGTCGAAGAGAAACTTGGAAACAAGTACGTGATTGGCAGATCGCTGGACTTCGCTGCCTCCTTTGAAGAGTCCGGAGCCGCTACACCCATGTTCTTCATCCTGTCTCCTGGAGTGGATCCTTTGAAGGATGTGGAGAAACATGGTAATGCTCTTACTTGTTTTATCTTTAATGAGACAAAAAATAAGTGAGTTCTGCACTTTTATTGAACCAGGCATGTCAGCCGTTTGCCATTTCTATGATTTTATGGTAGTAGTAAATGCGATCTGTTGAGCTGAGCTTTTGTAGTAAAGTTATGAACACTTAACATCTTACCTGGCTTAATGTTGACCAGATTGGCAGTTACTCCAGATGACACTTGGAACAAAGTGGCATATTAAATTTTTTCTCGTGGTTAATTTAACAGCAGTTTTTTTTCCTGTCAAAGGTAAACTGTGTTTGTTTTGGCCTTTAATTGTGACCAAACACAAAAACGTTACAGAAATGTGAACCACCAGGTCCACCAAATCTTCTCTGCTGGCCTAAACACAATCACAATCACTACCTTACATTTTAGTATGTTTTCTTTTCATTATTGTTATTCTGAAATGTCTGTTCTCATCATTTTTTAAATTTATTACCCAGCTCATCTGTAAGGAATGTGGTTTATTGTAGAATTCCTACAGTTCTCTTCATTGCATAGCTTTGCTCCTGGATGTGCAGCTTCCAGTAGCTTATGTTTATATAAAGCTTTTATCCTATATTTTGACCATAATCTGTTGCTAGGGTCAAATAAATATGCCTGGAGGCCTTCAGAATCAACAGTGCAGGCCCCTGCAGGTTAAAACAAATGGTAATGAAACTGCTGCTTTGACCAATCCGATGTTGAGCTGCTGGTGAATATCTGGTTAGTGACAGTTACTGGTTTCTGAAGTAACATTATTTGTTTATCTTATTTAAAGTTTTTAACGGGGGCCGAGATGGTGTAGAGGCAGGGCAGCCGGCCCAGGACCCGAAAGTCCCAGGCTCAATCCCCGGTCACTGCATACCTCGCGGTTTCTCTGGGCAGCACACCCCATCCCCAAAATGCCCCCCAGGCACCTTCAATAGCTGCCCACTACACCACCTGGTGGTGGATGGGTTAAATGCAGAGACTAATTTCATCATTTTATGGAAACATACAGTGATGATGACATTATTATTACTATTAATAACCTACTGCTGCACTGCTGCTGCTAACTTCTCGCGCTACTGTTACATCATATCAATCATGCTACAGTGTGAAAAGCACAAAAAGTAAAAGTAAATAACATCAGAGCACACCTGAGATGTTCCCTCGCATTCTTGAAAAAAAGATTTATGATGCCGGGAAAGAGACAGAGATTATTTGGAGGTCCTGCTGGGCCCTCTCCTGGAGCTTCAGGTTCGACCCAATACAGCAAATTGACTGCGATGAATTTAGGGGTTGAACTGGATCCTGAACTTAAATTAGACACCCAGTCCAGGTCAGCTGTTAAAAGGTTTTGTCATTTGAGACAGCTAGCCAAGATAAAACCCATCATTCCTAAAAGAGTCTTTGAGACAGTAATCCTGCCTTTGTTACCACTGGCTGGATTACTGTAACACACTTTATCTGGGGGTTAGTGGGTCCTCCGTGAACTGACTGCAGAGGGTCCAACACGCTGCAGCGAGGCTTTTAACTGACACGGAAAATGTGAGCACATCCCTCCCATTTTGTCCTCACTCCACTGGATGCTCGTGCATTTTAGGATCCATTTAAAATACTTTTATTAGTTTTTAGATCTTTGAATGATTTATTTGAATTGAGATTGACAGATCGACTGGTGCAGAGTCTGTAGTATTGTGGACTCTGTGCCGGTCCGATGTGGTGAAGAGGGAGCTGTGCTGTAAGGCAAAGCTCTCTGTTCACTGGTCGGTCGGTGATCCTATCCTCACCTATGATCAAGAACTCTGGAAAATGGCCAAAAGAATGAGATTATGGATACAGCTGGATGAAATGATTTTCCTCCGCAAGGTAGCTGAACTCTCCCTTAGAGATATAGGTGAGAAGTTCAGTTATCCGGGAGAGACTTGGAGTAGAACTGCTGCTCTTCCACATTGAGAGGAGCCAGTTGAGGTGGTTCTGGCATATCCGACTGGGAGGAGACCCCGTGGAAGACCCAGGACACGCTGGAGAGACTACGTCTCTCAGTTGGCCTGGGAACACCTTGGAGTCCTCCCAGAAGAGCTGGAAGAGTTGTCTGGACCTCCCTCCTCAAGCTGCTGCCCCCGAGACCTGATTTCAGAACAAGCGGAAGATGATGGATGAATGGATGGATGGATGGATGGCCTTGCCCCACCCTAACTCCCTGGATTGCTGCATCCCTACAAACCCTCCCGCTCACTCAGATCAGCTGACCAGCTGCTCCTGAGGATCCATAAAATCAGACTGTTTGTTTGTGGGGTGGGGTGCGTGTGTGTGTGTGTGTTGGTGTGCGTGTGTGTGTGTGTGTGTGTGTGTGTGTGTGTGTGAGAGAGAGAGAGAGAGTGCTTTTTCAATGTTTTGCTGCAGCAGTTCCTGAACTGTGGAACGAGCTGCTAAAAAAACTCTTCATGATCTCTTTTTAAAACCCATCAGTTTTATGTAGCTTTTATCTCTTAGTAAAGGATTGTTTTCATTTATTTTTACCTGATTTTAATTTTTTATATATTTTATTGGTTTTATTGTTTGAGCAGATTTTACTCATTTTGCTGTTTTTTATTACCTGGTTTTTATTGCACTTGTGTTTTTAATTGTATTTTGTAAGAGCTGTGTTTTAAAGTGATTCTCTACAGTGGTCTGTAGTGCTTTACAAATAACGTTGGATAATGCTAGACCTTTACTGTAGTCTCTCACTACTTTGTAGATCGTTTTCACAGACTCGCACTTTCGTGGTATTTCAAAATAAGATTGGAGATGACACACAATGGCAGATTGTTGGATGAGCCACACAATTGGCATGGATTTTTGAATAAAAAAAAAAACAACCTTTAAATGATTAGCACCCATGTGTTGCTCACAGCTGTGGGAGAAGCTTCCTCCTGCAGCTGATCAGCTGATCTCCACTCAGCTCTCTGTGCAGATCAGAGAAGTGTGCATGGCCAAGAGTGCAGCCGAAGGCAGGGAGCTGAAATCATGACATTCTGTGCTCTTTTAGAGCATTTAGAGTTTAGAAGCGTTGTTTAGACTTTTGCAAGAGTGTGGGAAGGGTTTAAAACACCTTTATATATATATATGTATATATATATATATATATATACTAAAATAAACTACTACTTATTACTTGTGCTACTATCCCTACTTTGCGATTTTTAACTTATCATGGGGCTTCAGGGTATGGATCCCCCATGATAAATGAGGGACTTTTGTATTTCAGAATTAGAATAAACTTTAGTGGCATTGCACCGAGATACAACGTGAATATGTACCAACAGTCGTCCTAAGATGGGCGGAGTGCACAAAGCTGCGGCTATAAATAATTAGAGCGGCCTTCTTATTCTTATTCAGAATAATATTTTGCTTAGATAAGAAAAGGAAAGAAAACATGAGGAGAGACGGTATAAAAAAAAGATCTCTCACACCGTGTCCAAGACAGGGCACAATTTTAAGCATCAAAAAAACCTACCACAGCAAAGCAACATAAACAGACGTTATACATGTACATATAGGTGGTGAAAACATTGAATTTTTAAGGGAAAGTCATAGCATAGTCCAGATTAGAGGTGACGTTCATCTTCAGCTCAGTTGAGGTTCTGTACATGTCCACGGCCTTGGGGAAGGGAGGGGGGAGGAAACAGTCAAAGCATCTTTGTTGTTTTCAAAACGTTCCAGGAGGAGTTAAGTCCGGCAGCAAGGCCACAGTTTGGGTCAGGCAGAACTCGTGAATTGTTGTTTCTGCCTATAAAGTCTTGCTGTACATATTCTCTGATGGAAACTCCAAAACAGCCGAATTGATCCTTTACTCCAAAAGTCGAGCTCACAGCTTCTCCAGATTATTCCACCATTCATGAGTTCTGCCAGGAAGATCACAGTCCTGATACAGCTGCTCCAATTCCTTGTCACAGCTCCACATTCTGTCCGAGCACTGTCAAGCTTCAACACCTCCACACGAATTTGTAGACAACCAGATTTCACCAACAAAAACAGTAGAATCTAGTTGTCATCATGAATCCAATTTGTTTCCTTAGAGGTCAGAGGGTCCTCCTTACCCTGACTCCTGTCGGGAGAAGTTGATTGATGTTGTTGAGAGACCAGCTGACCCTTCCAATAAGAGGTATGCAGGAAAAAAAAGAGGCTTTTTTAAGGGTTCACAGTACATAAGAGCGCAGCAGGGAAGTGGGTGGGGGCGGAGAGAGGGAAAACACATCTGGTTTCACCGTAGAATAGCAGGAAAAAAAAATTTATGACTATAATCAGAATATTTTCATATTGCACAGCTACACTTCCTGTTTAGTATGGTGCTTTTCATGCAGGAAGGTTTTTACATTTCTGCTAGAACAACTGTCTAATGTGAAACTAACAAGGAGGTGAAGGATCAACTGCTAAGAGTTTTTTTTTATTAGAATTAAGCTCTATTCCTCCAAACTGATGTCATTCAGAGAGCTACAGGTAAGATATTAACTGTTCATAACCTTAAACCCAGAGCCTCAACGTGTTTGGACTACATATTGAAAGACGATGCATGCTTTGTTTGTTGTTTTTTGTTACCTGCATGAATGATTTCAGGTGTATCAGACAGAACAACAGCCTCTGCTGTGATAACAGCCGTCACTGCCAATGCTCAGCACTCTCTAGGTAGATTAAGAGGATTATACTGAAGGTCATAAATATATGAAACGACACCACCAGTGTATTCGGGGCAGCAGAAAGTAAATGTCATTGGTTTGACAGTTATTTTACATTCCTGTTTGATAAAATATATGGCAGCAGAACAAGCCTTTTTTTAAAAATTCTTTTCAAAAATAGTTGAGGCTTTTGTTCTGACCTGGAACAGGGGACCATCGCAGCCTGACTCTTTGAATCTGTCGCCAAATAATTCAGTCTGTGGGCATTTGAAGTTGGTTCTATGAAATATTCAGAGAGCAGAGATTGGATCAGCTTACCGGAACAAAGACGTCCCCACAGG